TTAGAGTGTATGCTGTTCAAATAATCCAAGACTGGACTAAAGAAATAGCATGGCATTAGGATTGGAGGAAGACTTATTAACAACCTGCAACACAAAGCTCGAAGCAAAGAAGACTTGACACACTTACTGATGAAGATCAAATACTACAAAAATCAGTATGGATTAGACCTCAACATGAAGACAGTGAAAATCCTCAGAACTGACTGATAAGCAAAATGACAAATGGAGAACATATTGAAGTTGTCAAGGATTTCATTTTACTTAGATCCAGAAATAATGCCCACGGAAGCAGCGGTGAAAAGGTCAAACAACATATTGCATTACACAAGTCTGTTTCAGAATATATATGTATATATATTAAATTGTTAAAAAATAAAGATGTCATTTTGAGGATTAATGTGTGTGCTTGATCCCAACCATAATATTATCAACCGTCTTGTATTCATGCAAAAGCTGGTCAATTAATAAGAAAAACCAAAGCCAAAGAATCACTAATGTCTGAATTATGGCATTGGAAAATAATACTAAATAAACCACAGATTGCCAGAAGAAGAAACCAATCTGTTTTTGAAGGAATACAACCTGAGTGCTCCATAGACAGAAGAACATGTTGTCAGCAGGGACCAGTTACTGCAGAAGGACATCATCTTGTTGAAGTAGAGGGTCAGCACAAATGAGGAAGATCCTTAATGAAATGGATTGATACAGTGTCCACAACAATGGATGCACACATAGTAACCGTTGTGCAGGAATGTGTAGTATTGTGCTCTGTTGTACATAGTGTTGGAACCAACTCAAAGACACCTAATGACAACGATTATTTAACAAATGTTATTTATGGGTATGAAGGAGAGCTAGTGCATTATATATGTTCATGGAACACACAGGCAGAATCCTGAGGTTTGAAATGCCCACGGTTGATAACTCCAGTGGACTCTACAATCTATATGTAGATTTGTGGTGGTGGTGATGCACACTCAAATAGGTCTGAAAGATTTTATTAAAAGACTTTCTGAGACTCATCCTCAATGCTGTAGTTGAGGTCAGAGAAAGCTGCCAGCAACCTTGCATTACAGCATATATTTCAGGTCATAAATCCCAGCTCTTTGTCTACCCACACCCCAAAGTCTTCTTTCCTTCCTCTCTAAATTGACTAAAGTGACATTAAACCCTCCTATGCATCTTTTACCTGCCTTACCACCGATGTAATACATCTCCATTTCCCTTCCAAGAGTTTGACACATGATGCCCCCCCACCCCTCTTCTGTAATGTGACACTCTCTTGGCCACTTACAATTAGAATTTCTGATAATGCCCAATCTGTGCAGTGAAACCCACCTGTCCCAGATAATGCACTCGCTTGTCTCATTTGCTCTGATTGTAGTTGGCCCTTTCCTTAAAAAAAAAAAAAAGTGAGACTTTAATGGACATCATCCTGGAAGGGCAATGGCAAGCCCTTTTGTTGTTAGGAACAAGCAACACACTATTCACTCTCCCTGATCATTCCTATTTATATTGAGAAGTTGATTGTTTGAACCCCAGGAAGCAACTTTATGAGGTCTTAGAACACTCTGCTAGAGGCATTCTAAAAGTACAACATTTATCTTAGACGGGACTATTAACCTCAAGGTCAGCAGTTTGAAACTACCAGTTGTTCCTCAGGAGAAAGATGAGGCATCTGCTTCTGTAAAGATTTACAGCCTCAGAAATACTATTCAGGGTTGCTATGAGTCAGAACTGACTACACTGCACACTACCACTACCACCACCACCAAGATACTTTGGGAAGCCCTGGTGTGGGGCTGTAGGCTAAGCACTGGACTGGTAACCACAATGTCAGCAGTTCAAAACCCACCAGTCGCTCTTGAAAACCCTATACAGGGTCACTCTGAATTGAGACTGACTTGATGATACACAACAGCCCCAAAATATTTTGGGAGAATACAGCAGTCCAGATTCAGAATGTATGCAATGAATGTCATATTGCTTTCCTAAAATATAATGACACTTAGGAATAGAAGTTAAATTCTCTCATATATTTGGTGTTGTTCTTAAGTGCTGTTAAGTTGGTTTCAACTCATAGTAACCCTGTACAAGTTTTCCAAGGAGCTGCTAGTGAGTTTGAACCACTGACCTTGTGGTTTAAACCGATCTTATAGTAGAGTGTTTATCCTACAGCACTACACTATATACTATAGGGGAAAAGATTACTTAGGTCTAGAGTACTAAATATACATGATAGTAACACAGATGATAAAAGAATAAAAGAGAAAGGTGTTTGCCCCACAACCCCTACCACCCCCCATCCCCCGAGCAAATACTCCACCAAGTACTTTTAGTTTCAGGAATAATTTTCCATTGATTCTAATGTAATTTTTTTACATGATTGTATGATACTCTATTGTACTTATGAAGAAACTTTTTTTTTCCTTAACATGAATATCTGAGAGAAGAACAATAATGCTACTGTGCAAAATTACAGAATGTTTAAAAGTATATCTGTGGCTTTATGTTTAAATCAGTGTTAAAACTGATTTAAACATAAAGCCACAAATATAGCTACACCAGTTTACTTGTGGGTAGCCTAAATTTAGATTTTGAAGTATTTTTCAAGTATGCTATTGCTGAAGCAAAGTTAATAAAAAATAACGATTTTTTATTTTATTTTTTTAGTGTCTTGAAGAGATCAAGTTGCTTTTTCTTAAAACAAGGCAGTTTTTTCTGCCACAGGAAGATGCCTGATGTTTAGGATTTATCTGTTTCATGTGGAAAGATGCTTTCTTCATGGCCCAGTGACTGTTGCAATGCCTAACACAGAGGGGGTCTTTGCTGTTTCCTTTTCATCAGTTTCTGTGGAGGCAAAGCCTACCATTCATTCCATGAAACACATCAAGAGCATTTTATGTGCTAGTTATCTATAAGAAACACCAGGCTAGTGGGGGAGATGGACACGTGACAAACAAATTATAATATGAGATGACAAATAAGCATAAGTCACTGTGGCAAACAGGTGCTGAAGAAGACGTACAGAGGTAGAAACGTGTAAGGTCAACCCGGAGAAGTACAACTCCCTGACGTTATTTAACCTCTTGAGTGTAGGACCAGACAGTATTGACAATGAAAGAAAGATCGAGATTCGCTCATGTTTTGTCTGCCTCAAATATAGCTACTTTGATCTTCTTCATAGACTCCCTCCCACATGCTTCCTCTTCTCATATTCATGGGTATTTTCTTCTTCTTCTGACTCCTTCATAATATCCATAAATAGTGATGTGTATCAGTAGGATGACCACAAACTGCATTATCAAAAACAAGGCATTAGGGAGCAAATTCCTTAATCTTGAAAAAGATAATTGTAGGAGACATAAAAAGTAGTCAGTGGGAAATGTTCAGTATTTATTCCATGGCTGAGAGCAAAGGCCATGAAAAGGGAAAAGTACATTCGAAGTCAAGGAAAAGTATGAGGGGCTTCAAATTATTTGTGGAAAAATTCCATTATCTTTTAATTCCACTTTTCCACTAACTTTTTGAAGTCTCCTTGCACGTGTGAAGGTTAGGAAGCACAACTGTACTTAAGTGTCTAGGAGGTGATCCATTATGATGAGACGGGGACACCAAAGAGAAATTTAAGATACAAGGCTAAAAATTAGAACAAATGCTAGATGAGATATTTTAGTTTTTTTTTTTTTTTCCATTGCCAATTGTTGTTGTTTTGTTAAGTGCCATCAAGTCTGTTCTGACTCATAGAAACCCTGTATAGGATTTTCAAGGAGTGGCTGGTGAGTTTGAATCACTGACCTTCTGATTCAAATTGGCTTTTTGGTCCAGTGCTTTATCCCACAATGCCACACCAGGATTCTATTGCCAATGGGAGGCACTAAAAGGTTACAGCTGGGCCATGATGCAATCTGACCCATGTTTTGAAAGAGTAACTTTGGTGCTAGTATGGAGGATGGGTTGAAAGGAAGAGTTGCTTCAGGCAAAGAGAGAGTTCAGAGGTTTTACAGGGATTCTCATGAATCATAATGAATTCCTTCTCTATTCTTTGGGTACTCTGGCATATGGTAAGCATTCAATAAGTATTTTAAATTAAATACATGAACTAAAACTTTAAGTTCTCTCAAAATAAAAATCTGGCCACTGTGTTTCCACTTTATGACTCTAAAAGGTGGGAAGGTTGGTAATTTGTAAAGAAGAAACGATTTCATTTGTTTTTCTTTTTTGTTCCCCCTGTTCAGAATGGACATTTAAATACTGACTACAACCATCTTTTCACCTATTTTTGCTTCCTTGACCCTAACACACCTCACCAACGTTACCCTGAATTTATTTGATATGGCTTCTCTATCCTAAGCCTTCTAATTCTTACCAAATTATTGGATGGGATCGTGCAAATAGGGTAGCAATGATTGTGAGGTTGGTGCAGAACCAGGCAGTGTTTTATTCTGTTTTGCATAATGTCTTTGAATTGGTATCGATTGGATGACACCTAACAACAACAACAGCAACAATGCAAAAAGGCTGTACAGGACTCTACTGATGGGATTCATTTGTGTTTCCATCCCAGTAAGTTTAAATGGAACCATCTCAGAAGCAGACCCCAGGACCATTAGGAAAGGAAAGCATTAACAGAGTATGAAATCCCTACCTGGAAAAACTTCTACAGTTGAGATGGTGGCAGAGGCGAAGGCTGCCAGGCTTCTGGACTGAGTAGAACTGAGTCTCTCCGGGCAGGAGACAGGCTTGTAGAATGTGACCTTTGAGCATTTACACTCTGGCTAATGGATCTTTGTAACACTTGCTAACACTAGCAACTTTGGAACACTAACTACAACTTTGGAACACTAGCAGGACAGAGGTCAAGGGGCCACATGGCTGAGATGCCGAAGACAAGAGAGAGATGAGCCTGCAGTACGACAAAGAAGAGGCACTTCTGGCTGGAAAACTGCTGCTTCCTGAGCTGTTTCTAAACCTGGCTGGTGCCCTGTTATCTTCCCTAGTAAATACATTAATCGTGAGTTTGTCCATGAGTTCTCTCTGGCCATTGCAATGGACTATCCAATGCAGATGTGAAGCAGAGCATTGTGGGAGGAGTAGTTGGTGTCACAATAGAGTACAGAAGGTTGGAGGGTGGAGCCATGTCTGACTTCTGTCTTATAGGAACTGACCTTGGAATGATTTTTTTCTTTGATTGGCCTTCTTCCTGTGAAGCCAGAGGAAATCAGGCATATCTTCCACACTGTTGTTGCATCACCTGATACTTAGAATTGCTTATTAGCATAGTGGTTATGAGTTGTACTGATAACCACAAGGTTAGCAGTTTGAAACTACCAAGCTCTTCTGTGGGAGAAAGATGACGATTTCTGCTCCCATAAAGTTTTACAGCCTTGGAAACCCTATGCAGGCTCGCTATGAGTCAGAACCAACTCCAAGCCGCACCATCACCAACATATATTCATTGGAGTCCTGATATGGAGTTGTAGCATAAGCACTTGACTGCTAAACACAAGGTTGGCAGTTCAAATCTACCAGTTGCTCCTCAGGAATACTATACAAGGTTACTGTGAGTCTAAACTGGCTCCATGGAACTTAACAACAACAGCATGTTCATTGTGGTTTAAGACTTCCTAGACAACACTGGATTTCAGTGTTTCTAACGATTGTCCATGGGTGTCAAAAGAGACACTGAAACTTGCTCTCCAGCATAGAGATGTTAAAGCAAATGGAAGAAATGAGGAGGTATAAGAGCTAAACAGAAAATGTCAAAGGTCAGCTTGAGAAAAAGTCAAATAATACAATGAAATGTGCAAAGAACTGGAGTCAGAAGAGCAAAAAGGAAGAACACATTCCACATTTCTCAAGCTAAGGGAACTGAAGAAAAAATTCAAGCCTCAACTTTCATTATTGAAGGATTCTCTGGGCAAATTATTGAATGATGCAGAAAGCATCAAAAGAAGAAGGAATACACAGAGTCATTGTATCAAAAAGATATGGTTGATGTTCAACCATTCCAAGAGGTAGGATATGATCAAGGGCCAATAATAATGAAGGAAGAAGTCCAAGGTGCATTGAAAATTGGCAAAGAACAAGGCACCAGGAATTGATGGAATAAACATTGAAATCTCTCAAGAAAGTGAGGTGGCACTGAAGGCACTCACTCATCTATGCCAAGAAATTTGGAAGACCGTAGAAGAATTGATGCTTTTGAGTTGTGGTGTTAGAGGAGAATATTGAAAGTGCCATGGGCTGCCAAATGAACCAATAGATCTGTGTAGGAAGAAGTGCAGCCAGAGTGCTCCTTGGAGGCGAAGATGGCCAGATTTCGTCTCTCATACTTC